CGACTTCTGCTGATGATCTGAACACATTGGTTTATTTTTTTGACTTCCAAGAAATAATTGAATTTCCAAGGAAAATGCAGAACCCAGAAATAGACCGTTTGAAAGTTCGACAACTACCCAGTCTGAATCGCAATATGATTGTAATCTTAAGTTATTTTCAGATGGTAGTAGAAGTCCTTGACTAGGAGTACCTTTTATGTATCTCAGAACTCGAAGAGTTGCCTCCCAATGTGGTTTTCTTGGTTCATGCATATATTGACTAAGCATACGAACTGAATACACTATGTCAGACCTAGTAACGGCTAAATATATTAATCTGCCAACCAACCGTCTGTATTTACTTGGATGGATCATTCAACTTTTCTCTTGTTAAAGAAAGTTTCAGATTTTGCTCCATAGGAAATTTTTTTGGACGTGCTCCTCTAAGACTTGTGTCTTAAAGAATGTCTAGAGCATACTTCCTTTGAGACATAGAGATTCCTTTTCTAGACCTAGAAAATTCAATACCTAGGAAATATTTCAAATTCCCTAAATCTTTGATAAGGAATTTCTCAAGTAAACTAGTCTTGAGATATTGAATTTCTTTGAGATCATTGTCCGTCAACAAAATATCATCAACATAGATAAGAGCTGCAGTGAAAGAAGTACCTTTACTCTTAGTAAATAAAGAGTAATCTGCTTTGGACTGAGTGTAGCCTGCATTTTGTATAGTGGTAGAGAATATGGAGAATCAATTGCGAGAAGCCTGTTTTAAACCATAAAGAGATTTATGGAGCCAACATACTTTATTCAACCCTTTTCGGTGAATATTTGGTGGTAAAGACATATAGACTTTCTCGTCTAGATTACCATGGAGAAAGGCATTTTGAACATCCAACTGACGAGTGAACCATTTTCAAGCAGCAGCAATAGTGAGTAAGCAACGAAGTGTAGTAAGTTTCGCTGTAGGAGAAAATGTCTCTTTGTAATCAACACCTTCAACTTGAGTGTATCTCTTTGCTACCAGTCGAGCTTTATAACGTTCAACAAAACCATTAGAGTTGTGTTTAATTTTGTACACCCAACAACAGCCAATAGTTTTATGGCCAGGTGGTAAAGGAATGAGAGACCAGGTATGATTACGTTTCAAAGCTGCAATTTCATCCTTCATAGCTTGCTGCTATAATGGGTCGCCAACTGCCTCATCATAGGTTTTAGGTTCTTTCTGTGCTGTAATAAGAGCTAGAAAAGCACGTTGAGTAGGAGAAAAATGAGAGAATGAAAGGTAATGATGAAGGAGATACCTGGTGCCAGTGTTGGGACTTGAGTTAGAGGTTAAATGATTGGCTCCATAAGACATCTCATAAGCATTACAACAAGCTGGAGGTTGTTTGGTACGAGTAGAACGTCGGAGTGGAACTGATGTATCAGGTGAGATAAGATTAAATTTAGTGGGTGAATCTGAAACTGATGACTTTGAAGAAGGAATAGAAGGCAGAGGAGACGACGAAGGAATAGAAGGGGGAGGACTAGAATGGATGTTTGAGTAGGATGGAACATGAAGTGGTAAAATGGGGGTTGAAGGAGCTAATATCAAAGTTTGTGAAACTGATGAAAAAGGAAAATCATCTTCACAAAATTTAATATCACGGCTGATAAAAAATTTTTTAGATTGCATGTCATACAACTTGTAACCTTTGGACCACAAGGATATCCTATGAAAACACAAGGAATTGCCCGAGGTTCAAATTTTTGCTTAGGATGTACTATAGTTGCATAACACTTTCAACAAAAAACTTTAAGATGATGAAATGTAGGTGGTCATTTATAGAGTGCTTCAAAGGATGTCTTGTTAGATAACAATGGTGATGGTGTTCTATTTATAAGATAAACCGCAGTTAAAATGCATTCTCCCCAAAAATTAAGTGGAACCTGTGACTGAAAAAGAAAAGACCTACCTACATTTAGAATATGACGATGCTTACGTTCTATGACTCCATTTTGTTGTGGAGTATAGACACAAGTGCGCTGAAATTCAATGCTACAAGAAGTAAAAAATGGTTGCAAAGATAGGAACTACGTCCCATTGTCTGATCTAACTATCTTGATAGTAGTATGAAATTGAGTTTAAACGAATTTAACAAAGTTTACTAACAAATGATGTACTCTTGATTTGTGTTGCATAAGAAAAACCCAAGTACATCTAAGTAAAATCATTAACAACCGTGAGAAAAAAAAAGCAAACTAGAATGGTTTGGAATTTTATGTGGTCCCCAAACATCACAATGTAACAGATCAAAGGCAGAATGGGTTGTTATTGAATTTCTTGGGAAAGACAACCTAGTTTGTTTTGCTAATGGGCAAATACTACAGTTATGAGAAAGAGTAGTATTATTAAGATGCAATTGACCAGATAGAAATTTAAAAACGAGAAGAAGAAGGATGACCTAGGCGTAAATGATACAAATCATATGACTGAGATACTTGATTTGCTGAAGATTTTATTGGAGATGAAGAAATATGATAGAGACCTTCGAATTGTTTACCCGAATCAATCATCTTCCCCGTAGCCAAATCCTACATAACACAAGAATCAGGATAGAATGTGACATAACATTTCAAGTCATTGGTAAGTTTGCTGATTGACATTAGGTTTAAATTGAATGAAGGCACACAAAACATTATTTAATTTAAGGTCAGGATTAAAGGAAACATTGCCAGTATGTGACACATGTGTTGTCCCTTCATTAGGCAAATTTATCGTAGATATGGTACTAGCCTTTAGTTCAGTCATAACAGAAGCTTTGGATAGTATATGACCCATAGCTCCACTATCGAGATTTCATGGATTAGAACTTATAGAGTTAATAGATAATGCAGTTACTGGAAACAAACCTGCAACATTGATGTTATTATCAGAATTATCAAAAGGACGTTGATTGAGTGCAGATAAGACTTGTACAATCTGTTGTAATTGCTCAAAAGAAAAATTTGGGATGAAATTAGATGACTGTGCTTATGTATTCAACTGAGAAACATCAGTCATATTTGTAGATGATTGATATTCTCGATTGTTGCATTGATTGATTTGTACTACTTTTCTATAATTATTTTTCTGTTGACATCGATCTTCTATATATCCCCTTCTATCACAAATTTACAGTGAAACTTAAGAATTCGACACTCATCTATTGTATATGACCACTGTGTTCACATGATTTATCCTTGGCGAATTTTGAATATGTTGTTTTCTTCTGAACTGTTGATGCAATCGAGAAATTCTTTAGTAGGTTTAGAAGTTACCGGACGCTACATCTCTTCTTGTACAAGTAATGAATAGGTTTGCCTCACATTAAGTAATAGAGTCATCATCAATATGTTAGATCTTACCGTTTTATAAGACTCATTGAGCCCCATAAGTAGTTGCATCAACTTGTCTTCTTCACGTTGATCAACATGTATTTGACGTTGATCATAGGTAAATGGTGTGCGGTACGCTTCCAATTCATCCCAGGGTGCTTTGAGCTTGGTGAAATATGCTAACAATGTCATGGTTCCCTGTGACATCATTGCTATCAACTTTTGGATCTGAAAAATTGTTGGAGCATTCTTTTGTGAGAATTGATCGTGAAGATCAATCCACACTTGATGAACTGTCTCAGCGTGAATAATACCCTCAGCGATATCTGCTCCAACTGAATGAGTTAACCAAGATATTATCATACTGTTGCACTGATTCTAGAGTTCAAATTCGGTTGAATTTGCATCATGAGACGATTCTTCAATAGTGTCATCAATGAAGCCAATTTTTTTTTTTTTTTGGCAATAAGAGCATGCATAACTTATTTGGTAATTTGTTCCATTTAATTTGATTGGAACAAGTGAATATCCTGAACCCCCGAAATTTTGAAGCTGGATTTGGTTGATTCCGCCATAGAGGAAATTTTGATATTTAAGAATACCAAGATCGGTGCTCTGATACTAGGTTAAGAATGAGAAATAGAAATAGAATTGGAATCGGAGATGTGTATACTCATTGATATTTATTAGCTTTAAATAGGATACAAGCTAGCAACTAATACCTACCGATAAGGAAAATATGAGAATAAAATAAAATATATTACCAATCAAATCATAAATAATAAAGAATATTAAAAAATAATATATACGATATATTTCATAAATAATATATTATTGAAATATTATATGTGAACAGGTTCTTATCTAAAAGGTTTTCAACTCGTACCAAAGCAATAAAGAGGCATGTTTCCTTGTTTAAACCCTTCCATTTGCGGACCTTAAAATGTGTTTTAGAGGGACAACATAGTCAATTAAGTTGCAGGTATTTTTCTAAACTTCAGAGCTTGAGGAGGAGGCCACTTGCACTTGCCCACCTCACCTCAATCAGCTGATCAGTCACACTTCTGCTCCTCATTTGGCCTCCATGTGCCCAAATTAGAAAAGATTTCTTTTTTAGTTTTAGATTTTCAAAAAAATTAGGCTAATTTCATCATTTTCTAAACTTTTAAGAGTTATTTTTTCAAATTTCACAAATCTTGTAAGGTGTTATAAATGCTTCTCCTTTAAGAACTTGGGTCTTTCAAAGTTGACTAGTCCTGGAACAAGGGTATCACACCCTCCTTTCATCCTAGGTTGCTTTTCCTATTTGATAATGCCTCCATCAAGGTAACCTTTTTATGTAACACTCCAAGTCCAGACATTAAATATCTGATTTTTTTTTTTTTCTTTTAAAGTTGAACTTATCGGATTTTATTAAGATTTTTAGAGGCTAAATTTGAAGATGAGGTAGAAGCCAAATTTCTTTGGGAAAAAAAAAATCAGAAACTTTGTAAAAGAAAATAGATAAAATCTAACAAAAATTGATCAAAGTCAAACCATGGGCAAATTAGTCATTTTGCCTTGCCTAATTAGGGGTCGAGATGAGCCCATACCGAGAGCGCAAATTAGTCATTCTCGGTGCATTAAAAGTAAAATCACATAAATAAACTGCACCCTGATTACAAGCAAAACCTAATTGGACCAAACAAGAATCCTATAAATAAAATCTTTCAACACTTTTTTAAAACCAAAAACATCAATAAGCTTTGCATGTGCCACTGTAACCTTCCTTTTCTAGCATAAAATCACAGTTAAAAAAAAGGGGTGGGTAAATTAAACGAATATACCATCCCAACCAAAACTTCCAAAAAGGAGGTACACCTCAAAGATATTTGCCCACCCACATACTAAACTCATCAAAACATGGAAAAGAATATCAACGTTTCTTGGAGACACCAACAGTTTTTCCTCGGCGACCAGTGGTCTTGGTGTGCTGACCACGAACTCGGAGGCCCCAGTAGTGCCTTAGACCTCGGTGGTTCCTGCATTCATTGTATCGGAGATTAGTGGACTGGACTTACACGAACATACACAATGCAAGGAGTGGGGATCAATATCCCAAATACATCAGCCATTAATAGAAACACTTCAGGAATATATCAGATTCAACAAAGAGACAGATCATAAGTTTCAATTCCAAATAGCATGCATGTTGCTAATCAGTGAAAACATTAGGTTTTACAGACCCTTTAAGTACATCACAGCTAAAATAGCATGCATGTTGAATATGGCACCAACAGACATGGGGGATGTTTGAGTGAAATCTCAAATATCGTACTTAAAACCTGCTTGGTAGATTGACCTTTATAACTGCTTTTCTTTTTATTGTTTTTTATTTCTGAAAATGATTTTGAAAGATATGTTCTGCTCTCATATATCCTTAATATATTAATTCAAAAGATACAGCAGAATACAGATCAAAACTAACGTAAAAAATAATTAATCATTACATATCAATTACCAACAATAAATTTTATAGGAAACACATGAAAACAGAAAAATTTAGATTTTTTCTGCTGTTGTTTTTTTCTTCAGAATCTGATTTAATAGTTATAATGTCAAACAAACAAGTTTAAAATCTAAGAAGACAAACAGTTAAAAAAAGCAGTTAACCAAAAAACTGTGCGTGTTGATATGACATCAAAAAGAGCAAGTTACCTGATCTTCTTCAACCGCTCCAAATCATCTCTCAACTTCATGTCCAATGCATTAGAAACCACTTGAGAATATTTCCCATCCTTGTAGTCCTTTTGCCGATTCAAAAACCAGTCAGGAACTTTAAATTGTCGTGGATTGGCAACAATCACCATGAGATTGTCCAACTCGGCAGCAGTTAGTTCACCAGCCCTGGTAGTAAAAATAACAAATAAAAACAAAAAGGTAAGATATACAAGCCACCTTGAGTTCTCCCCCAAACTCTGAATTGTATCGTCTTCTAGGGTGACAATAAAATGAATAATTCGAAACCAATATTTTTTTTTTTTTTTTTTGGGTGAGAAACCAAGCTTTCATTGAGAAAAATGAAAGAATATATAAGAGAAACAAAAACAAGTCAAACAAACATCCCGAAAGCTACAGAAAGGAACTTCAATCAAACAAAATCAATCCAAAACCATAACTACAAAAAAGCATAGGGACTAACAGCCACAAAGTGGCTTTAAACCTAACTACCACCAAACTCATCACAAGACTGCTCCAAATCTTTAAAAATTATACTATTTCTTTCATCAGTCCCCTACAAGATAGAAAAGAAATTGGTGTGCCAAAAAATAGCGCCACTCTCACAAAAAGGCAACCCCAAGAGCACCTCCTTGGTCAAAGCAAAACAGTGATCATTCCATGCCAAACTTAAACCAAAGGAGGACCAACCACCTAGCCCAAAGGGTCTAAACAAACTGACAACCCCACGTCAAGGAATAAGATCCTCATCCTTGCAATCATACAGAATGCACAACTGCAGGAACAACAACAAACCCTGAAATTCCTTCCCCCTCTGGAGAACACGCAGATCAAGAATAACAGAAAGGAGACCTAACACAAAAAACAGTATCTCTATTGGAAAGATGGAGACTAAAACCTAACAATAAAGAGGAAGAGGGGTCAGACAGTAAAATGAAAACCACATAATACAACCTCTTACTCGAAAGATGATACAAAAGAAGGTATAGCTCACGAAGGGGCTTCTCACCCACTCACCAATCTTCTAAAAAATGAACTCTCCTGCCCCTCCCAAAATAAAACCAAATTCATTTGAGGTCATTTAATACATAAAAAAAAAAAGAAAGCAAAGAAACAACTACTAAGTGAGAGGTGCTAAAAAGTATCCCAAATACATGAACTTCCTAAATGAACTACTGCAGCAAGCTACCAATGTGAGTTAATTGCTCCTACCCAGTCTCTCCCGAGATATTCAAATAACAACAATAAGATTGCAGCTGTTTATCCCTAAAACAGGAGAAAGACCCAATGGCTAAGCTACAAATGTAGCTTATTAAAGCCTTAGTGAATGGATCTCAGCAAAAGAAGCGGGTCAAATCTAAATCTTCTTACAGTTATCAGCTTTTTTCCAAATGTCTAGAAGAGTTGATAGAAGTCATCGGGAAAACAGGTTCTCAACAAACAGGTGTTTCAGATGCTGCAAAAATTTCTATAGATCTATCGCGAAGGAACAATTTTGAACTTTAACCAAAACATTTCAATCAATGTCAAAGGGGGCCAGCACTGTGTTTGGCTTTAGTCATGATTTGATGATTGTATGAAAATTACTATTAAGTTTCATTAAGACTTCGGTCTCATTATATTCAGAGAACTAGAGGATCTTGGTTTATTCTCCCCGTTTGTAATAGTTTTTAGTATGATTTTCAGATTTAGTTGAAAGCTCACGTGGTGGTGTTTACTCATTTTGATCACACAGTGTGGGGCTTGTGAGTTTGAATTTGAGTACTATCCATTTGGTTATTAGATAGAAGAAATAGTTTCATTCTGATATTCATTTAAAAAAAAAAATTGAAGCCATCTGTGCATACATTGGTCACATATCAAACCCAGATAAGCATGAGGAATATATTGTGGTAAATTATATCAAAGAAAAGGAAGAAAGAAGCAGCAGAAGATAATTCCAAGCAACCAAAAATCCAGTTGCAGTTAATACTTCTGTTCTTTTTTTTTTTTTTTCTCGATCTTAAAACTCAAACCAGAATTGTAGGGTTTTTTTTTCTTTTTTTTTTTTGTCAACTAGACCCAGCTGTCAAAAAAGTTCACTAATATTTTGACATCCTTATCCTGGCAAAGGTTTTTGTAAATGCATGTATCCAAAGGTCCTGTACTCCCAACTTTTGTTTTCATTGTATGTTTACTTGTTATTCCAACAAATCATACATCCTGCATTCATATGCCAGCTACAGACACGAACCAACTTCAAAAAAAACCTAAATCACAGAATAATTGATCCTTGCTACTGCAGTAATTGTTATTCTAACAACGATAAACTCCCTTCAAAATCTCAAGTCTATTATCGATTTCATCATTAGCCGTACCCATGTTAAACTCCAAATTTTTCCGGAATACCCAACATCTTTTGTTCTTTTATGTAAAACTTCAGCATAAACTTCTTGATAAATAATTAGTAACGGAAACCTCAATCCGTAGCATCGATCTAAGAGGCAAAATTAAACACAACGGACAAAACCCTTGTAATACTCCTAATTCTCGAATTTTTCTCCCAAACTAGATAAACGATAAACCGCAATGAATAAAGAAAAAAAAAACAGCGAAAAGAAGGAAAAAGAATACCTCTTGTTCATGTCGACATCAGCCTTCTTGCAGACGATGTTAGCCAATCGCCTTCCAATACCTTTGATTGAAGTGAGAGCAAACATAATCTTCTGCTTCCCATCGACGTTGGTGTTCAGCACACGAAGAATGTGCTGAAAATCCTCGTTTGCTACCAGCGACTAGATACAGAAAGAAGGAGACAAAATCAAATCAACACAGTCAATTGTAAAAACCTAACGTATAATTTAGCGCATTCAAGAACCGGCAATAGGAGAGAACAAGTGGAAACAGAGCAAACAAGAAACTGTAGTTACCATGGCGTACGTAGATAGAATCAAGGAGTTGAAAGAATTCCCGGCGGCAGAAGAGGCAGGAAAAAACGAGCGGAGATCACTGGGCGATGAGTGGGCAGGATTTTATATGGTATCAGCAGTCTAGGGTTCTGGGCTAAACTAAATTGACCAATATACCCTCTTCAAACTTTAGTTATCTTAATAGAGAGCCGTAATTGCCGTTGGGTTGCAAGTTATTGGAATCAATTTGTGTCATAAATTTTAAATTTCGCTTTAACCAACTTCTTCTTGGAGTAACTAAAATTTTAAATATTTTAATTTTTTAAATTTTAAATATTTTTAATTTTTATAATAAATTTTCAAATATGTTGGTATAAATTGTAATCCTATTTTTGGATGGGTCGGATTCATCCGACCAAATAAATGTCAACTCATGAGTCAACTGGTTTAAAAATTGAGTCCAACCCAAATAAAATAAATAAATAATTTAATCCAATCCAATTTTTATAATTTAGATGGGTAGTTTAAATTGGTTATTTGTTTTACTTTTTGGTTCAATTTTTATGTGAAGAATTGTTAAATAAGAATTTAGATTTTAAAATTCTTCAAAGTTATATATATTTTTTTAAATTCTTTGAAAATAGAATGTGCTCTATTTAGTTCATAATTTTTCCAAATCCACACTTAATTTGATCTGAAGTAGCACGTGTCTTGAGTATTTAAGCAATAAGTGACTCTACTATTGGGGTTATAGGCAAACACATACAATCATGAATGAGACTTATCATTTTTATATGTATTTCTTTAGGCGACTGTCCTAAGCGAGTAATTAGATATGTATTTACTATTCTACACACGGCCCACATGTGCGAGTATGGACCCACCCGTCAGTTTGCACACCTCTTGGGCCCCTTTCTTGATCGGGCTAGCATTCTCTAGTGCTGTTATCGGACGCTCGGTAGGAATAGTGGTCGTCGCAACATTATGATAAACGAAATGATCGTTTTTCTACCTCATAACATATGCATTCGTACCATCGTAAAAGTGAAGATTCCCCAATGCATGTAACGTACAATGAGGCATGAGGTCTTAATATTTTCATTCATTAGATCATGTAAAATAACTACTTCCATTTTCTTTCATATCATATCATTTTACAATATAGTCTTTAAGACATGTATTGGGGTTGAATATCATATCATTCATATCACACAGTCTTATTTCATATCATGCACATAACATGCACATAACATGTCCTTCAACATATAATATTAGATCAGGCATATATCATATTGTAATGCATGTGACAACATGTATTATATCGCCAAACATGTTACACCACAACATATATCATACTATCAGCACATCACAACATAACACGTGTTATAACATATCATAGTCATATTATTTTATAAACATATCATAGTCATATCATTTCATAAATATTTCACACATTTCAAGCATATGACACGTGTTGAACCACAGGGCATGTGTCATTATACAAACATTAACTTCTAACCATGTCGATAGTAAAACCACTTATTTGGTTGGCTTATGATGAAGCTATTACGACCCCTTGACGCTAGCTTAACGCTGCTCTTTGAAATTTAATTCTATTAAGGGGTTCCACAATTATAAGTTATTATTCGAAACTAACTCACCTAATTTTGCATAAAATAATTTAAATTTACTTCTATAATTTAAACTATCTAAATCCAAGTAATTTTGTATAAAATAATTTTAACTTAGTCTTTATAATTTAAATTAGTTAAGCCTAATTATACATAAATAATTTAAACTTGACTCTAAAATTGTAAATAGAGTCATACTAACCTTAAACAGTAAGAAAGTGTATTCTTTAATTGGTTTTGACCGTTCAATTGTTAAGTAGAATGATAAAATGAAGTGAGAGATCTCATTTTATAGGAGAGGCCAACCACCCACTTAGCAGCCATGTAGATAATTTCCTTTTTTTTTTATCCAAATTTTTGGATTATCACCATGCCCAAATATTTACTTAAGATTTCAAGGTGTTTGGATCAAACTTAGAATCTAGACTAAGTTTGGGTATAAACAAGACTTAAAGCAATGATGAAATTGCCTTAAAACCTCTAATAAGGACTCATGATGTTATACAACACTTATACATGAAATGTTTATATGTTCGTGACTTGTGAGTTTAGATGAGGGCTTAAGAATTTATGACAAGTCTTTGCACATGATTGTGCCTTAAGGATAACCCTTGGAGTAAGAACCCAAAAACCCATGAAACTAAGAAAACACTCGGACAACAATCAAGAAAAAAAAAGCACTACTCGAGCTCAAAGTCCACTAAGACATGTAGGTACCACTCAAAACAAGGACTAAGGTCCTCATACTCAAAACCCAAGAAACCCTCCATGAACTCTACGATACATTCATGACTTAGACCACCTCACTTAAAACGTAAGAAGCCTTAGATATAGGTTTCTTACTACGTCGCTTGGAACATATGATGTAACTACCCTAAATTTTCCCTATTTATCTAAGGCCATTACTATACTTCTAACTTTACATTTAATGCGGAATTACTTTAATGGACACTTTATAATTTCGACATTAATTCATACCTCCTTTATTACCTCGTGAATAATCAAATACAAGGGAAAGAAAGGAAAAACAATGTTGAATTGGAAAGAAAATCTATTTTATCCATGTGCCACGATCACAAGATTTGCGATGGTCCTGTCGGTCTCACATGGGTGCTTTGCCTTTATCTGAAAATGTAGTAGCATCAAGCTTGAGTATTTCTAGAACACTAAGTAAGCGACTCCCTATCGAGGTTATGCAACAAGAACATGCAAATGCAATGACGAGACCTATCATATCAATTTATTTTCCTATGACACTATCTTAACGGGCAGCTTGGATGTGTACCATATACTCTACACATAGCCCATACATGCGAGTATAGGCTCACCAGTCAGTTCCCTCGTGATGGAATAGGAGTATCCCCCAATGCATGAACACACATAATGCATGAGGTTCCAATATTTTTATGTTTTCAACATTATTAAATATAACTCCGCTATCTATTTCATTCATATCATATTACTTCTCATTTTTCATCCTCCTATCATGCATAATTATACGGAGTTATATTTCATGCTATAGACTGTGATTTCATGTCATACATATCATGTTCTTTACATACAATTTAAGGAACATAATATCACAGTTCATGCTTTCATTATAATATATTATGACATGCGATTCATACAGAAAACATTTCAACCATCACATAAAAATTCTAAGCACAATACATCACGTCACGTTATATCGCACATCAAGTCATTTTAGAAACATCATACATTCACATTGCATACTTTTATGTATTAAATCGTAACAGTCTAACATACAATTTATGACACGTGCAAATCCACGGGCACGTGCCAACATGCAGCATACAATTGCGTAACGGTAGAGCTACTTACTTGGTAGGCCTTAACTGATGTACTCCCTAAAATATATGACGTAAGCCCCTATCTTCTTGTACGTGTCCTACGCTATTGTCAGGGTTGGTTCCTATTGGGTCGTTCAACACTTTTGTTAGTATTTCACAAACAAATTTATATTACTAACTTGAAATCGTGAAATAGTGCCTTATATTGACCTATTTTGCCTTAAACAAGGTTGAAATCGAGTGTGGGAGGGTCAGAACGGTGTCAAACCAGTCGAAAATAGGTTTCACGAGCCAAATACGCCGCTGGAGCCGTGGGGGAGTTTGCCCCAGACGCTGATACGTGGCGCAACCAGAAGCGCCTGCGTGTGCAAGTCGAAGTCGAGTTGAGGGGCGATTGGGTCACGGTTTTCAGGCTGGGTTCTATTATTGGGCTGCAGGAATTCTGTCTGGGTCGAGAATTTGGGCTGCCGAAAATGGACTGGGTGGCAGATGGGTTGGATTCGAGTTCAAGGCTACGGGTTTGCGGGTTGGTTTCGGGTAGTGACTGATGGGTTAGACCGAGGCGCGAATTGGGGTTTCTGGGTTGGGCCGAGGCATCTGGGCTGCGGATATTGGACTCGACTGGGTTGGTTCCATTTCGGGTCGTGGGTCTGGATCTTGGGACGGGTTTCGTCTTCTTCGCCCGCTTATTAGAAAAATTCCGGTGACCTCTCTCTCCTCGATAATGCCGCTCGAGGGTTTGTTTACCTTCATTTTCTTTCATTTCCGCATCTTCTCTCTCCCATCTTCCCTCTTATGGCGTTGATTTGGTTCGTACAAGTCAAAAAGTCCCCGGATCTGAGGAAATCCGAAAACCCGAGGGTCAATCTTCCTCGTCCAACGGTGTACAGCGTGTAAGAGGTACCTAAACTCGTCCTTTCTGAACATATCAAACTCTATGATTCCTTTCGTGGTCAGCAATAGAGGTTTCGACGTTGATTTTTCGTTGGGTTCCGTTCGCTCGCGATTCATTAGCCTCTCTCGTTTTCTCACCGTTTTTTTTTTCTTACCGGTAGCTCTAGGACATGTTGTAGTGATCCAAGGGGGAGTTGCGATGATCGTGGGTCATGGGGATTGAAAACTCCTGTGTTCACAAGAGTTTTTGGGTCTCGTCGGTGACAACGGGCCCTGACTTTTTTTTTCCTGATTCGTTACATCTGAAGACTCCAGTGTAATTACTAAGACTATGCCAAGCCTTGAGCACTTCTTGGAATGTAAGAAGCATTGGGCACATGTTTTGGAATATACCGCTTGAAATGATGGAGCAAGAATCAAAGAGCCCATGAAACTAAGAAAACACTTTAAGGACAAGAATCAAGAAAAAAAACACAACCCAAGTCGAAAGTCCACTAAGACATGAAGAATGCTAGGTACCGCTCAGAACAAGGACCAAAGTCCTTAGACTCATAACCCAAGAAACCCCTTAGGCCTCCCACGATATAACATATTTATGACTCAAACCACATCGTTTGAAACGTAAGAAGTCTTGGATGTAGGCTCTTAGACTGCTTTCGCTTGGAACGTAAGAAGTCTTGGATGCAAGTTTTAGACTACGCTGCTTGAAATGTACGAAGTCTTGGGCGTAGGTATTCATACTATGCTGCTTGGAAAGTATGAAGCCTTAGACATAGGTTCTCGGACTGCATTGTTTGGAAGGTAAGATACCTTGGCA